GTTGTATTCGGAAAGAATAAACCAGTTTTATTAAGTAAGGACTTGTGTCGCTAAAGTTTCGTCGGAACGAAGTTACGGAAAGTTAATTAACAAACGGAGGCGTAACAATATTAATTTTTTTCTATCGCGTAAGAATTTTTTTAGAAATCGGAAATAAAAACAAACTCTTACTTAGATCAAATTATTATTTCGTTTACCACAATGAACATTTTTTATTATTATGTTTGTTAACAAAAATACAAACAAACTGAAGAAAAGGGAAGAACATTGATGTCAAACGAATATGCAACCTCATTCATCCTGACTTTTTTGTATGAAATCTACGTCTTTTAGTCTCAAAACTACGTGTTGTGGTTTTTCTTTTACGTATTGCGTTATGACGTTTTGTCAAAAATCTGTACGTGATGGAGAAAAATGGATATCAGTTTTGGATTCAGCGTACAGGAATTACTGTAGAACATGTAAACATGCCAAGACAACAAAACCATCGCAAACCTGTGTAATTGAAATATGAAATCCACATGGTCTAGGCCTCTGCCCACCACGGGTATCGACACCCGGATTCTAGCGTTGTAAGTCCACAGACATACCGCTATGCCACTGGAGCATGACCCCTAATGTAGTAAGTGTAATCAGTAGTGTCGTCAGTATGCTTGCACGTGAGACGAATGATTTTGCACCAGGCGACAGACCTGTATCATTTGTGTGTACTTTTCAGCGTATCAGATAGCATTTTAAGCTCCTGTTACGTTTGAAAGGTATAAGGGGACGGTTAGTAAAAATGTTGGATGGCGGTGGATGGTATTAATTAACTGCCATCTCTATAGTCTAATCACTTCAAAATTAGGGACGGCTAGCACAATTAGCACTCAAGTACAGTCTAAACACTTCAGAATTAGGGACGGTTAGCACAATTAGCACTCACGTAGCTTTGTGCAGAATTCGAAAAAACAAACAAACAAAAACCTAAAGATGGAAGGTAAGACGAAGGATATTCTGCTTGTTTTAGGCTTAGATGAATATTTTGAGGTATCTGTGTGTGAATTATCTAAGACGTTACAAGTATACCGTTTATGCGAACTTTCAAAATGTACATGTATGGGCGAATAGCGTATTTGCCGCAAATGATAAAATTTACTATTACGAACCATCTGAACTGCCAACCCCGTTTTTTAAACGACCACCTCTTTACAGCAATACTCAATTAAAGTGTTTCTACTCTTATGTAAAAATTGCATCTTTGTCTCTTTTGTTTCAGCAATCAATACTGTATTTGTTTGCCCTAGCAACACGAAAAAAACGACTTATGAACGTAAGAAGTGATTTTCGTGTTTTCTAGTTTGACATCCGGCTTGTCCCACGTTGGGTCAACAGTAAATTTAGGGACTTACAACGCTAAAATCCGGCGTTCGTTTCCACGCGTTGAACAGAGCAAAGCTAGGCTATGTGTAGCTTTGTGCACAAACGAAAAACTTCAGAAACGTCCAGCTTTCCAACACACTAAGTATATTTTACTGTGTTCACTAATCTTGCAGTGCCTCCTGGGGAATCGTATACTGAAATGAAAGTTTTAAAAACATGGCAGAGTGCGAATGACATTCATTGGATGAATCGGGTCCGTTCCTAACTGGAAATGATGAACGATCTTGTGGCAACATGAATACTGTTGGATTTAAGTAGACGTTGAATACGAGCAATGTTAAAGATTAGAAAACGTATTTGTAGAACAACAATACGTATATGTTGTCAATATGTTTTTTTATATTTATTTGTACTGTATTTAA